CCACAGATAATACTTCGGCGGCCGGATCACTGCAATAATATACAGTCAGAGGGATATCTTTGCTAAAGGGAAAGCCAGGCAGCAAATAAATCCATAAGACTCACTACATATTACGTCAGAAAGTGTGCTTAGGAGCAAATAAGTAGGGATAGAGCGGCTGGAGTCATTGTGGGGAATGAAATAGACGACAAACTTTGTCTGACTACCTAAGAAGAGCATGAAAGTATGATGAAAGAGCCGGCTGACTAATCAGAACGAGTTGGAATGACTTATTGGTATGCAAAATTGTAAAGATCATGGCGATATTCAGCGCGGAAAGATAGTGTTAGTTTTCACAAGCATATAAGATGGGCTTTACTAATATTCGCAAGAGATTAATGTGCGACCGTGATAGAGAAACTAGGAAACTTCACAGCTAGATCTTAAGGCGCTCTTATATATGTATATAATTGGCACTCGTAAATGCTGACTTGGTTTTTGGCCGAGCCACACTTCAAATTCCTAATATGCGTCTTGGGGTTCTTCAAAAATGAGGAGCGTTTATTTTATGTCAGAAATACATTCGGAGAGCTTGACATTTTCTGTCGAGGGGTAGACCAGGACTCGAACACTGATCCTTAAAATGGTAAATGCTAACTACTCTGCTATCGCCGCCGCCGGATGTACTCTTAAACCTTAAACCTTGCAAAATAGCTGTTGATGACTACTACCCTCCCAAGGTCCTCGAACATTCATATCGCACTATAAAGGACAATGCAACGTGGTCAGCCAGCCAGTATAAACTGACTCAGGTATTCAATAGCTTCAAGTTTCTCAGTTTTAGGAGATATTTTGGTGCAATGAGTCGATCTTAAAATGACTTAAAAATGAGACCAATTGGTGCAACTATTGCAAAGCTAATTGCTGCGACTGACATTTTGAAGTTCGGCTCGAGCAGGTCGGCGCATACGAGTTATAGTCAAAGGATTTCGTACATCTTTTCTTATAAGAAAATACTACATTAGCTTTGGTTCAAAGTTGTTCTAACAATACCAGACTGTACGCCTGTCTGCGTTAATCTTTTATAGGAACCAGTTGAGTTGGACTATCTTTCAACTAAACAGTGGAATTTTCACAATTCTCACAAACAATCAGCAGCAGCTTGTTGTATCTTTGAAGTCGTATATACTGTCGTTTATCTAAGAACCAGCAACAAACCCACAACAATTTTATCATTCTTAAAATCCAATGCAGAATTTTTTTAGAAAACAGCTGCTACTGGGAGTAGGCAATTGAAAAGAAAAGTCCTCTCCCGAAGAATACGGAGCTTTGAATGTTAAGTAAGCAGAGAGTGTTTCAAAGGGTTTGCAGTAGATATAGGCGATGAAACGATGAGATGTGTGACGTAAGGGTGGCAGTCGCCGCTGGTGGTGGCAGAGCATACCCAACACACTCTTCCACGCTGTTGAAAATGTCAAAGTCGTCTCGAACAGGATGTAATTTTGCCTTTTTTTCTATATACATTGAGTAAAAATTATTTGCCTTACATTTATTTCCAACTTCACAAATCACTTTCGAGTTAAGTTCAGTAAGCTTACAGCATCATGGACCAGATATCTAAGTAGCAAGTCTTTTCAGCTAACAGAAAACTAGTTCAAGTTTTCATTGCGCATGCAGAATGTCGTCATCATTATTACCATCAACTTAATCATCATCAACAAAAATTACTCGCAAACAAGTTTATTATTTGAAGCCAATTACAATGCGTTTATATCAGGGTGTATATATGTAAATAGTTATTTTTGCAAGCGCGCACTTTCGATGCAATCGACAATGGACTTTGCAAATTTTTTTCTTTTTTCAGTTAAACTTGCATTGCTCCAATTTCGTTCATACATTTATACATTTATATTTCTTTTTCCTTTTACACATTTACAGGTTTTAAATTAAAAGCCTGTGGGTATTTTCGTAACAGTGATGGTGATCCACTTTCCGTATATGAAAGTGGAGTACAAGTAATGTTGCTACTACAAGTAAATGTGTGATGTTGGCATTGAAAGGTCGTTGTGTTGTTGTGTTGTTTGAAAGTAAAAATTATGTAAGATGGATTTTCTATGAATTTTCTGGTTTATATTGAAAATGACGGTCAATGGTATTGAAGTTGTTGCATGGGTTTCAAATCGAGGGTGGAAGAACCTTTGGCTTTTAAAATATTTAATATATCAATAGTAAGTAATCGTGATACATAAATAACGGTTAATATAATATATTGGAAAAAGATGAACAACTTTAATCCAAGAAAAAATTACGGGAATGGGGAGAGGTCTCGCCCTCAAAGAGTATACATTAGGCATCTTCTTTGACATCGAGGGAGCATTTAGGAATGTTTTACCAGGAATAACGAGAGGGAATCTTGTGATATCCCTGATATTAAACACAGCAATTTTTGCTGAATTAGCAGTCATCAGTTACTAGGTATGCCATTAGAGGCAACCCACAGGGAACAGTTTGCTATCCGCTTCTGTGGCTTTTCACTGTAAACATGCTGTTTCATTAGCTAATAAGCACATTTTGTGGCACATTGTCATACGGTGACAACATTTTCCTCACAGATACTGGAAAACATCTCCAGATTATAAGCGATCTGCTCCAAAATGCCCTTTACACATCCGGAGAGCAGAGAGCACGATCTGATTCCATTAAAGACCGATTTGGTACTCTTCATTATGAGGTACAACCTTACATCGCGATCGCCCTTTTACTGAGTTTAAATACCTAGCCACAATCTTAGATAGCAAACTCACTTAGAACCGGTACACAGTAAAAAAGTTGGAAGAAAGCTAAGGCAGCACTCTACACCTGCAAAGTGGCGAGCAGCAAGAGATAAAGACTAAGACAAAATGTTCGGTACTGGCTCATATTAAGATCCAGCACTAGACAAGGCTACTTATAGTGGTTACAAACAAGTGGCTACAAGAAAGACGGCTTTTGCATTCACTACAGGTGCACTGCCTTCAATTCCTATGAAGTCCATTGAAATTTTGCTTAACCTTCTCCCTGCAGGAGCACCAACATAGGTATTGTATCATAACGGACCGGTAGGTCTAAGTGCGCTTGATGAGGGCTCCGAACTAAGATATGCTTAAATGTTGGAGAATTTTTATTTAAAATTAAGACCATTTTTGCGACTTTCAACATTTTAATAACTCGCTGGAAAATTTCTTCGCGTACTTGTCCCGTGCGAACGTTATGCTATTTTATACATATATCTTGTTATAAAGACAATGCTAATAAAGAATCTTTGGCTAAATTTCTTTTTCATATAAACAATGTTTAATTTATTTAAATCTCTCAATTCTTCTGCAACGGCGTGGGCACCGCTTAAGTATAATCGCTTAATCAACAATAGCTCGCCATGCATTCCTTCTTTTTGCTGTTTGATGTCAGTTGGAAATACTAAGAGAAACCAAGTCCCTCTACACCTGATCCTTCGAAATGAGTGGATTCGATCCCTTTTCTCTGCTGTTTGCTGGCGAATACTGCATCGAATACTTCAAGAGCCGGAATGCTTTCAATCATTCGAACGACGTGACGTAGCCAGGGTAGGTGCTGAACGGTATCAATATCAATGTAACAGTATAACTTGAGGTAATCATTCTATCGTATACGGTATTGCTTTTGCCAATGTGCAGAGGACCATAAAATCCAATGATGTTGACATCTTCCAGCCTTCGAGGTTATCACTGTCAATAGTGACGTGAGAGCCAAGCCGTGAATACATCAATATTTTGTGTTTTCGTTGTTCATTACTACACCAATTTGGTTCGGTTCTATGTCTAGCTTAGAAAAGACTGTTGTTGATATCTAGATTATGCCTTGAATGGAGGTCCCTACCGATCCGGACTGTTTTCCGGGTGTTGTTCAGTGATAGTTTACACAGCCATTTAAGTTTAGCAGGAATTCCAAATTCAGAGATAGTGGAAAGCATCTTTACATTCGGTGAAAAGCTGTTGTATATCGATTCTTTTTTCACGGGTATATTTCAAGATTTGTCGCGGTGTGGTGAATATCTGGTTAATCATAGATATGCTAGGTCTAAAACAATATTGGTAATGTCGAATCAGCTCGTTGATAGTGGACTTTAGTCTTTCATACAAAGCGCTCGATTGGATCTTATATGCGATATTTGGGAGTCTAAACCATGTCCTCTTCCCTGCTATGTTTAAATTGCTCATCAAGCTTTAAGCGGCAATCGCTTTTCGAACTCTGTCGCAGACGGGTAATGGAACGTACTTTCCATCATTATCGGGAGTTTCGGGTACGCCATCCTAATTTAAGTGACATTCAATAATTTAAAAAAAAGAGGTCCCTCCACACATCAAATATGCTTTGGTCTTGAAACTTTCTGCTAGCTCCCGCAACTCTTCATAGATTTTTCGAGCGCTACCTTTGCTGGGCATCTTTTCATACTCTTCATACTCACGTCGTTCGGTCTCCTTTTTCTTTCGTTTGCAAATGCGTCTTGCTTCCCACTTCAGCTCTCGGTATTTAAGGTTGCGAAGTAGGTAGTCTGTTTTCTCCTCACGGAATTTCGATATTCCTCATTATATTAGCTTACTTTCTATCACTGCCAAAAACCAATGGCTTTCGTAGCGGCGGTACTTAAGGAGTTTGAGATTCCATTCCGTAGTTCCCTTATATCGAGCTGTTCATCAGTGATCTGAGAAAACAATCGTGCAAACTGAGTACACAACCGAAAGGTCTGCTGCGATTGTAGATTTTCAACATCTAACTTTCCTGTGTTTGATAACGAACGTTCTTTGCTGCACAGGCTGCATATTTTTGCCACGACAAGATAGTCGATGTCGGTTGCTATCTGAATAACACCATGTAAAAAGATGTAAATTATTTTAAGTTGCGAAAATTACTTGCATATTGAAATGAATTTCAAATAATTTTTTTGGTTTGAGTATTTAAATACACTTGGCGTTAACATATATGTATCTCTCCTATTCTTTCAGCCCATTCCGTTTCACAATCAATTTCGCCGGCAGCTATCCTCGCAGCAGCACATTCTGTCGGACGTGCAACACCACACACAACCGAGACAGGCACAACAGCAGCAGTATTTCCTGCAGCAAAGCCCTAGCGTGGAAGTGCCAATACAAACGCAACAACAACGAAACCGCCAAGTACTGCCCACTGTGAATACACGCTTCCCGCCTAGTGGCAACGGACGTGGAAATTTTGCAAGCAATCCAAGTGCTAATAGCAACACCAACAGCAACAGTAACAATGAACAATATCAACAGAATTCACTATTCCAACGTTCCACACAAAACCAATTGTATACACCGCAGCAACCGATACGTTTCCAACAGCCTCAACAACAACAACAACAGCTGCAACAGCAACCACAACCAAATATAGATCAGCATACACAGAATTTCTTGACTTTGCGTAATTTTGGCAATCAACAAATTGGACCACAACAAAGCTTACCACAACGTTCGTACAACAACAAGCCATTCCAGTCACAGCAGCAACAGCAACAGCAGCAGCAGCAGCCTTTGCAACAACCAATCTACTCGACGTTGCCGAATAGTGTTTACCAACAACAACAACTGCCTCAATCACAGCAGTCCTCTTCCTCAAACTTTGGTTTGCCACAGACACAGCAGAAATTGCCGAACTCGCTACCTATACCCACCTTCCAATCACAGAGCGTTGCACAGGCGCCGCTAAAAGCCGCCTTCTCTACGACACCACAGCTACTGTTCCAAAACCAACAGCAACAACAACAGCCACAGTTGTTACCGCTACCACCACAACAGCAGCAGCATCAGCACACCAATTATCAGCAATTACCGTTACAGCAGCAACAAAGCGGCGCCTTCCAGTTGACACCCAATTTGGGCTTGCCCGTGCCACAGATCTTTCCAAACCTACAATCGACTGCTTTCCCTTCTGCCCAACAACAGCAGCAGCAGCAACAACAACATTCACAACAGCAATATGTGAATCCACAATTTGCTACACTACCAACGCCACAAGCGCAATCGGCCGATCAGGAGTACAAACAGAAGATCATACAGAAACATGAACAGTTCGTGCAGAAGCAATATGAGAAGTCGCAGAATAAGGTGCGTCAACAACATGAGGAGTTCGTTGCTAAACAACAGACACTTAAGCAGCAATTGGCGCCCACGTTGCAGTTGCCACTACAGCAACAGCAACTACAACAGCAGCAACAGTATCAGAGCTTCCAACCACCACGTAGTCGCCCCGTACAGCAATCCGAGTTACATCTGTTCTCATCCGCTTTACAAAAGTACCATGAAGAGCATCCCACTACGACTACAACAACCACCACCACGACGACAACAACCACAGAGCCCACAACGCTGCCGAGCAATAAACAAAATAGCAAGAATGTCTACGCACAAGTCAAAGCTGAGCTTGGCAAGTATGGCATGAAGACCACACCTGGAAAGAAGCCTGTGAAAACCATAGGACGCGACGAACTGCTGAAACAATTGAAGGCCGCTTTGGCAGAGGCACCACAAAAGGATGTGGACAATAAAACTTACTCCGAAATGGATTTGGTGCTGCCGAATGGTCAACGTGTGCAAGTGATACGTACCACGGATCCTAATTTGGTCAAAGGTCAGCAAGCGCTTTCCCAGGATCAGTTACAAACTCTATTGGCACAACAAGGTATAGCGGCAGGCGAGAGTGGTGTTGCAGTGAGTGCACCAGCAGGCGGTAAATTGAATTTGGCCGATGTTGCGCCGGAGAGTGCTAAAGATCTGGTACTACCGAATGGTTCAAAAGTGCAAATATCACGTTCACCCGATCCAGAGGCCGCAATCGATCCACAATCTTTGCCCGGGGGCGTTGATTTCTCTAATTTAGCTTCACTGTATGGCGGCGATATTGAAGGTATTTCTAGTGGCGCCAACAGTATTGCTAGTTCAGCTGTGATACAATCAGACTCTGATGAACCACCTACACTGGAAGAGCTAGCCAAGCGTGGTCTTATACCAGATGGTTATGAAATCGAAGGTTTGAGCTCGAATAAACCCGCAGCAGCACCGAAGCCAGCGCCTACATTGCCACCGAAGAAGAAGGCCACCTATGTCTACCTTGAGGAGCAAGCAGATGGTAGTTTTAAGATACAAGGCGTGAAAGCTAATGGCGAGAAGGAAACTAAACAGACCGGCGCTGAAGTGGAGAGCATCTTGGAGCGCATACGTAGTGGTGAAATTAAACTTCCACCTTCTGTTTCCCGTCTAACATTACCAAATGATGAGGTTGTTGAAATACAAGGTGGTAATATTATTAAAACTACCGTAGCAGCGCCTATACCTACACGACCCAGTACGACCACCTCGACAACTACCAGCACAACCACAACCACTACCACTACAACCGAATTTCCATTCGCGCGCACATCACCGATACGTCATCAATATCATTCGACACGCACGTCGCCGTATAGCAGCTACCCCAGCACCACATATGCGCCACTCGTACATCGCACAAGCCCCGCAGAAGCGGCAATAGCAACAGTCGCAACGGATTCCACTGATACTACATACTACACCACACCAGCGCCCATTTATACTGCCTCCCCAGCGGCGCCAGTTGTCTATGAGACTTCAACACCATTTGCCGTCACTGAACGTTTGGTTGATACAGTACCCGAATCAGGTCATTACACCGATACGTTAGTACAAGAAACAGAGAATACCGAAAAGGCGGCCGAAGTGACATCTGCAAATCCAAGTGAAGATTTGATACAGATCTTGAAGTCAAATGGTCTCTTTGCCATGGCCAAATATCTGCGTCAATCGGGTTTGGATAGCATATTGAATGAGACTGGGCCGTATACGATCTTTGTGCCAACCGATAAGGCATTCAAAAACCTTTTAGTTCAACTAGGTGGCCCCGAACGTGCCGAGGAGAAGTTCAAGGCGAATCCACGATTGCTCAGCGGTGTAAGTGTTTTAATGGTATTCTGTTTATTGTAATTTTCTTTATTAATGTCCTTTAAATTTAAACCGAAATAGCTGTTGCTGCATCACGTGATACCAGGTTCCTTTGAAATCGCAACACTGCAGGACGAGATGACAGGGGTCTCGCTTGCGGGCACCCAATTGCGTGTAAATCAATATACGATGCACGATCAAGAGTGGAACGATGTGACTGTAAGTATTGAGATTTTGTGAATACAACTGGCTATGGATGTGAACCAACTAATGTATTTTTTTTAAATTATTAAGATCACCACCATAAACGGCGCCATGGTATTGCTGAACAAGAAGGATATAAAGATACCACAAGGTGTTGCACATGCTGTCGATCGTGTTATGTTCCCACTGCCAGTCGGCGATCTCTTACAAACTCTACAATCGGATCGTGAAAATCGTTTCTCTAACTTCTTGAAAATTCTATACACTTCTGGTCTATCTGAGAAACTACAAAGCAAAGGTGGGTTGAGCACAGGCTTCAAAGCAGATCCATGGAGCTGATACTAATCCTTTAGAATTACGTTTAAACGTTATTAATTTTCTTCTCTCTCTCTCCCCTTCTCTCTCTCTCTCTGCAGGCATTAAAACCTATACCGTCTTCGCGCCGGTGGACAAGAGCTTCCGCGATATGGAATCGGATACGCTGGAGAAACTTTTCAATAACAAAGAAGCTGCCGAAGAGTTCGCCATGAAACACATTGTACCCGGCTCGCTATTCTCAGCTGGCATGCGTTTCTATCAAGTTAAGGACTCATTATTTACTGGCAAAACTGTTATTTTGCAAAAGACATCAGCGGGTAAGATCAAGGTGAACGACGCACAAATGGTGACCTCGAACATACCGGCAACAAACGGCGTCATACATGCATTGGACGGTGTTTTGGCGTGAGCTTGAAACGTTGAATGCTCAAACGCAAACAAGCAAAATCAACATTATTAAGTAAGCAATAAATAACCGATTCTATAGGTTATATGTTAAGAAATGAACGCATGGAAAGACATTTGTTTTTTTTTTTTGCATTAAAATTAAATTTTTTGCGATTATATGATATATTAATTATGTAAAATTATAGTTTTTCCAACGATGAATGAGCAGTAAATCTTGCCAGGTGCGCTTTAAAAGCTTTCTTTCCAAAGCTAGTGAAGCTTATAAATATTACTGTGGGTATATTCGGTAATTTAATTAGTTAATTTTTTTTTAAATACTTTCTTGAGCAAAGAAAAACCATTTTCAAAAGAACAACAAAATCCACTGGTGCTTCCAATTATGCTAGTAATTTCCGCTGAACAGTTACAGTTACCATGGCATGCAAGTTTTCGGGAAATTTTTATGTACAATCATACTTTGCAATACTACAGTCATAATAAAAAAATGTACATACATATATCATAACATATAGCTGAGTTGTCACAAAAAAAAAATTAGAAAAAAATAGTGCAGAAAAAGCGGTGGTAGTACAGCGTTTTTAGATTTCAACATGAGATTTTTAAAAGCTTTTCTTATAAAATTTTGAAATACAATTATGTATTTTAAAATCATTGTTATTTACCCTTCAATTTATTCATCCACTGTTATTCAACATTTTTTTTTTTATTAATTTATTTCCTTCGATATTTTTTAAACTCATCTCCATACTCATGCAGCCGCACACTCGTACACAATTCACACAAATTTCATTAAAGTTTCTGTACAAAGAATATTTGTTTAAAAATTTTATACATTTTTAAAAGTGAACATTTTTTACGTTTAAAATGCATAATAATTATAAGTCCATTTAGCTATCCATACACGATTACATACATATATAAAAATATATTTTAAAATATTTAGGCACAATCGATTATCTTATCTATTTTTATGTACATACAAATGCAGCTCCATATACTAATATATTAATTTTTATACGAAATATTGTAAATTTTATTATTATTTTTTGTAAATGAATTTTCATAAAACATCATTTGGTTTATTAATTTCTATCTTTATGTGTATAGAAATGAAAATCATAAATGTAAAGCTGATTTTTCAATAAAGTTAAGTAAAAAAAATAATAAATTTAAGTTGTTTTCTTTACTGGCAAAACAATTATTTAGTACATAATTTGACGGTAAATATAATCATTATATTATATAGTCTACTTTTTTTACTATTGGATATAAATAATAATATAATATATAAATACTAGAAAAATGGCGAAAGTAAAAGATATAATTTCTATCCATGCATGAAAGGGGTTATAAAGTTTTTGAACACAATATTCTTCTCCATGGCGAACCAAAAGAATAATATTCCTACCCAAAGTAGGTAAGGTTCATCGCGCCATCTTTTTAACTTCGTTTCTGTTTAAACCATAGCTTTGTAGATTATCACATCTAGCAAACTGTGGATGAGTGCGGTCTACTCTCAAACGGACAGGATGTCTACTTAAAAATCAGCTGATAGCATTACATACTGTCGTGTATAAGGTACAATAGAATTGGCTTTCGGAAATGGAGAATACGTTTTCTTCCCTATCTCTCAGTGGATCTTCGTTAAAATTGTTAAGCCAATACTTTTCTACAGTGTTTTAGTATGGTGGAAGGCTGTGGACAAAACAACATAAGCTGAAGCATATCATCTTCAAATTGAGTGACTAAAAACAGAGGCAAGGCTTTTCGCTATTATCAGGTACAGTAGAGACGAATGGCTGGAGCAAAGATCTGAAATATGCATACAAAGCTCTTTATGGTTCTAAAATGAAGGAAGAACTGGAGGATTTAGTTTACCGCTATGGATAACAAAGGCAAATAACTACCAATTCTTTACTTAATTATCGTAGACACCACTTACGCAATCATAGCCGAGTTAGCAACAATGCGCCATTCGTTTCTTTTTTTCGCCGTTTGGTGCCAATTGGAAATACCAAGTAAAGGAAGGCCCTTCTCTACCTAGTCCTTCCAACGGAGTGGAGTACTCCTGCTTCCACCAATGTGCCATTAGTTTCTTTTTTTCGCCGTTTTGTGCCAATTGGAAATACCAAGTAAAGGAAGGCCCTTCTCCACCTAGTCCTTCCAACGGAGTGGAGTACTCCTGCTTCCATTTCTTGATTCACTGAACTATGTCAATATCGCCGTATATCTTGCACAGTCGACTGCAATAAATAAATTAAATAAGTCACACAATAAGGAATCTTCTTGTCTGAGTTCTCGTTTGATTTCGAACTGCTCGAAGAAGTCTTTCCCGATCGTGACGGAGCTTTTGGTGTTGCTTAATGTCAGTTTACATAGTGGGATAACGAATTCAGACATAGCGGCTGAAACCATACTCATAAAGTTCAATCAGTTTGCTGGCGGTGACCGTAATAATGAACGTAATAATGATCCTACCAGTTCCATTTAGGGAAGTAAAGCAGAAGCAAGAAGCAATACTACTTCATCTGGAGAATTGTCTTTAGGAACCAACTAAGGACAGCAATATCGCGAAAACTATGCAAAAACTTATGATTCTAAACTTACAAAGTTTTTGGGATAGGTAAAGAGAGCGGATTCTGGGCTGCTGGTTAGACTTTTAGGGAGGCAATGCGTCACCTTTAATATAGCTCTGATTGGGAACAACAAATATACGGAGTTTACGGAGACAGTGGAGCACGCACGAAGGCTACGTTTACATGACGCAGAAACGCTATCTTCAATCAGCAAGGGCCGAGAGCATAATACGACTACTTCAATTAGCGAAAGAACAGTTCATACAAATTATTATAGATTCTCTGCTCCTCTAACCATATATTGCATAAAAATTTAATTAAATTTGGATTTTCTAACATTAATTAACTCTGAATTTGCCATTTAGGATATTAAATAATTGATAATATTAAAATAATATTATTATCAATTAATTGATTAATATTATATTAATATTATTAAATCATAGATTCTCTGTTCTATCCTAAATGGCGAATTAAGAAATCAAAGACACAAACCAAAAGAAGCACAAGTATAGTACGAACAAAAACTCAATGACGTACTATTGCTATAAACAGTTAAAAATGCTTAAAAGCTAGCACAGAATCTATAATATTGTTCGTACTATAATTATTATAGATTCTCTGAGCAAGTTTTTTTTCGCAAAGCTCTGGAATATAAACTTTAAACCTTACCAGAGAAATAAAAGCTTTTATTTTCCATTTCCACTTATTCGCGGTAATTTTATATTATCGGCTCAATATTGCATATATTTTTTTAATATTTAGCGAACACCTCAGGTATATAATATTTCGCGATTCAGCTTTTCATTCCAAGTTTTCTACACTTTTATTATATTACTCGTACTTGGTACTAGTTACACTAACGATTAAACACAATAAATTGCTTTACACAAAATATACAACCATTTTTTCACTTATTACGGAACTCCGCGTTTCACTACGGCTTGCTATACCGACAACCGACCGCGACCATTTCCGATTACTAACTGAACTACTTCCGTCCGTTGAAAAGCGGCAATTTACAGCGAGATCGTAACTAAGACTCCGTGTAAATGCATACGTGCTGCAATGTGTATACATATATACGGAAATGAGAAGGTTACCACTAATTGTACTCAAAATTATTTTCGTTAAATGATTGGATAAGCTTCGTCTGCCATTTGCAGGGAGATTTTTTGTTCTCCTCCTTCTAACAATGCATTAGAACTTTGTTGGAAATGGAACACTTGAATGTATATTATGAAAAATGAATATGATTGAATTGCGTATACATTGCATACAAACATATGAACATTATTTTAAAACGTGACAGTAAGAGTAAATCAATTAGTTTTCTTCTTTAAAATAAATAAGTTGATTGAATTGAATTCATATTCTTCCTTACATTTCTCCACTTCTTTCTCACTTGCTACTAGAGTGGAGGTGCTCACCTTCCGATCTAATTCAATTCAAACACGAAATGATTCGTTGGAATTGGAAGTAACCTCTTTGTGCCGTTCGGTGAAGTAAAACGTTTCAGATATCCCTTTGTCTACCAAACGGCTCAGTAAGGTTCCATCCAATTCTAACGGATACTTTGATGTTTGAATTGAATTCAATTGAAAAAAAAAATTTTTGGAGTTTGATTATATGCATAAATGACTATGAGTGTGAAAATATAATTTAAAATTATCCGATTTCTGTCATATATGCATAGTCTTGTTCTATAGCTTTCTGCCAATTTGAAGGTAATGCCATTATTCTCTGCAAACCCATATTACCATTTTTCTTAGGCTTCATTTGAGGTTAACTCTTCACCAGCCAAACTATTCGTCATACACAGGTACAGATGGTAATCCAGACTTTAAAGTGAATGCATAAGAACCTCCTAACCAAGTTTCTGGCGAATCACCACCGATATGTGTGTTCTGGCCTTGTTATGATGAAACACAATTCCCTTTCAGTTGGCCAAAGTTGGCCGAATGCTTTCTTTAAACGGTCCGATTGCTAACAGTACAGGTACGAATTAAGAGTTTGAAAGTAGGTGAGCAGCTCAAAGTAGATGTTTCTTAGTCAATCCCACAGACAACAAATCTTTCCTAACCGACAATCCTAGCTTGGAAAGCCTTAGTGCCAGCTCAATGCTCTCTAACCAAGACTGTTTTAACTTCATCATCTCAGCAGCAATTTTGCGAACTTCGATCCGTGCGGCTTTTCCCCCGTTAACTCATATGGCACTCATACATCGAACTACTTTGTGCATACAGCATTTTCAAGTGGTTCCTAACTGTTTGTAGCATCTTGGCAAACGAAACAGTGCTCCCATGGCGATGGAACTCAACGATTTCCATTATTTTATCGACATTTGAATAACTTAATGAAACACAGCATACTAGGGAATCTATAATAATTATACAATACATTCTTTTGATTGCCTTGCTTCCGTGCTCACTCTCTCATTCGTTATATTCTCTATTGAAACTTCCGTTCGAGAGCGGAAACAGTTCAGTTACCCGTCGGAAGTCGTCGTAAGCTGATGCCAGCAAAATTCAATGCCGGTGGGTGATCGTTTTTAAATGAAGTTTATAATGCAATCATAATAAATAAATTAAAATAAGAAATAGATAATGTGAAATTATAAGAAATGATAGAAACATTTGTAATTGCTAAAAATCGTAAATGTATAAAATGGCCGTAAGAAATCGGTAGTTAAAAGCTTAAAGCTTTTGTGTACGTTGTAAAGTGCACACTAAAAAAGAGCTCGCAGTGAAATCAATCGCGTGCAATGTGAACTCATCGACTCGTACATTATTTTGAAAAGTTACATACGAGTATACATAAGTATGTATCAGTGCCGTCGGTTATGCGCAGCCTTGAATGAAAGAATATGTATGGGTGAAAAGTGTTGAAATATTTGTTGCAGGATAAATATATGGAAACTAGCGGTAAGTTTGCCACAAATACTTGTTTTATATATAAATTTACTGAATATCGTAAAATATAAGTGTAATCAAATTTTATGATTATATTGGAAGTCTTACATATCTTATCGGAAACTGCTCTATTCCAGTCGGAAGTTCCGAGAATTTGTGGCTTTCATCCGGTTCGTTAATATTTTAAAGTGATACCAGAAAATTTAAAAAAAATTATTATAGATTCTCTAGTGACATGGAAACGAGCACAAACATAATGTTATTATTTTTTATGTATTATATTTTAATTGAGCTTTTTAGTTAGCAACCATTGTTGCGGTTGTTGACTTCGCTAAAGTCAGCTTAGGTTTTGAAATTTGCTAAGAATTTAATACTTACAGTAGTAGCAAATTGAGCTTCAATCGCTTTGTGGGCGATATTATTCATTTACATATATATTAGATATCCAATTTTAATTACCTGG